TCATCTCCTTTCCAGACTCTCATCTATTTAGGCCTAAGCATTAACATAATTTCTATCACTACATTCTGACAGTTGCAGGCATAAACATCACTGAGCTGATTCTATAATGATCTTAAGATCCTAAGCCAGCAATTTTCAAACTTTCTCATATCATGGCACACATAAACTAATTATTAAAATTCTGCAGCACACTAAAAAATATATTCTATTTTTTGCCAATCTGACAAAAATAGATATAATTGATTTACTTTTTAAAAAATAATAGTAATTACCCTTTTTTGCTCCAAAGTGACTTTTTGTTGTTGTTAATCCTCACCCAAGGATATTTTTCCATTGATTTTTTAGAGGAAGGGAGGGGGAGAGACACAGAGAGAGAAACATCGATGTGGTTGCCTCCCCCTCATGCCCCAACCAGGGCCAGGGATGGAGACTGCAATCAAGGTATTTGCCCTTGACCAGAATCAAACCTGGGACTCTTCAGTGCATGGGCTAATGCTCTAACCACTGCACAACCAGCTAGGGTCAAAGTGCATTTTAAAAAAATCAGGTGCCTATTATTTGTATATAAGGATTTCTGGTAATCAATGACATGCAACCTTATTATGTGACATGACCAATAAGATGCAACTCTATTCTATGACCTATACATTTATGACTCAAGACTGGGCATTCACACCTCACAGCTATTGGTGTGTTGGCTGTTGTTATTTTTTTATTTGACAATCTAAGTGAAAAGAGGTCAGTGCATCTGACTGAATAATCAGGTGTTGCATGTTTTAAAATTTCTGTGGCACACCGGTTGAAAATCTCTGGCCTAACATATTCCAGGCCATGATTACAGGTTCCTAGGCCACAAAGTCAGTGGGGAATAGATCAATTTACACAACATGATGAGAGGTTGTTTTCTTCACTAACAGTTGAAAAGGCAAATATAAACCCTGGCTAGCAGATAGAAAGGGCAACCTATAGATATTCACAGGTATCCCTGTAATTTACACCAGAATACTAAAAAGAGGTCCCTGACACACTTACCAAAAGCTTTGGCTTTTGTTTGCTCAATGGTTAGAGCTTTCCAGTCTCTGCAATTTTCTTTTCTCCATATATATTTTCTTCTCTTAGCCTATACATGTAAGTGACTTCATAATTTTTAAAAAAGAAAAAAGAATGAAAACAAAAATAAAACCCTCCACGAGTATTTAAAAATTTAAGCCAGGAAATATTTTATTAAATTAATCTATAAGGAGTGGTCACTAAATGGTCATTAAATTGAGGGTGAATGCTTCAAAACAGCATGCCTCTAAAAGAGACCAAATTTAAATGAGCAGGGGTTGTTCTCAACCAAAGACAGATGCATTTCAGCAGAGTTGTATGGTTTGATGAACCATAAGGAAAACAGTAAGTACTGAGCAATATACATGTCCAGATGGTGATTAAGACAGGGAGTTAAGATACTTAAATGCCACAGAGCCTTAAGGAGCACTTGTTCAGGGTTCAAGGAATAGGTAGACGGTCAGATACGGAAGCTTTTCAACCAACCTGAGACTTTGATTTGTTTGTAGATTGATTATCAGCATCGACACAAATTGGTCTTTCTGAAAAAGCCACTAATAGAGGGACCACCAATTATCTATAGGTTTCCCTCTCTCTGCTAGCCAGGGTTTATATTTGCCTTTTCAACTATTAGTGAAGAAAACAGCCTCTCATCATGTTGTATAAACTGATCTATTCCCCCACTGACTTTGTGGACTATGAACCTGTAATCATGGCCTGGAATGGTTTAGGCCAGAGATTTTCAACTGGTGTGCCACAGAATTTTTAAAACATGCAACACCTGATTATTCAGTCAGGGGCACTGACCTCTTTTCACTTAGATTGTATATTAAATATGCCAAGCCTTTGAGACATATAATTTAAACAATAAACACCCAAGAAAATAAATAATGGGCTAGGCTTTTCAAATACTTCACAGATTAATTGAGTACTGGATAAATAAAATATATAAAATCCTGAGCAAAAGTCTAGGTATTACTAGACATTGATATTATTTATTGGATGCAAATTTATCTGTGATATAACTATGCCCTTTTGGCTGACTACAATTTCTCTCTCTCTCCATGCCTTTTTTTAAAAAGGTATCTTTATTATTGAAAGTATTACAGATACCCCCCATTTTCCCCCATTGATCCCCTCCACCCTGCTTCCACCCCCTCCCTAGGCCTTCCTCACACTATTGTCTGTCCATGAGCTATGCATACATACATGTAAGTTCATTGGTTAGTCTCTCCCCATCACCCCCCCCACCAACCCCTTCCCTCTCAAATAAGTCAGTCTGTTGCATGCTTCAATGTCTCTGGATCTTTTTTTGTTCATTAGTTTATTTTGTTCATTAGATTCCACATATACTAGGTAAGTGGGATTATGTGATGCTTGTCTTTCTCTGACTGGCTTATTTCATTTAGCATAATACCCTCCAGGCCCTCCCAGGCTATCTCAAAGGGTAAGAGATCCTTCTTTTATTATTACTAGTGGCCCAGTGCAACAGACCGAAACACACACGTGCAATTGGCACCAATGATAGCTTTATATATATATATATAGATAAACTTGCTTAATTAGACCTGCTTTCTGATTTAGCTAAACTTTTTCCAGCCCGGTGAAGCACCCCAACTTCTCTTTCAGGTAATTGTCAGCAACATAGTAGTAAACATCAACACAAAGCAGATTATTATTATAGATTACACAGGGAGAACAAAGGGTAAAATATTTAACTGCAGCAGTGTTTGACTATATTCTGTGCAGTGAGAAAACCTGAAGTCATTTTCAAGGTCCACCATTTCTTACTTCTTTTCAGCTGGGTCAAGTTTCTAAGCTTTCTAAATCTCTATTTTCTGGCTAATGAAAAAAAACATATCCGTAACCGGTTTGGCTCAGTGGATAGAGCATCAGCCTGTGGACCGAAAGGTCCCAGGTTTGATTCCAGTCAAGGGCATGTACCTTGGTTGCAGGCACATCCCCAGTAGGGGGCGTGCAAGGGGCAGCTGATCGATGTTTCTCTCTCATCGATGTTTCTAACTTTCTATCCCTTTCCCTCTCCCTTCCTCTCTGTAAAAAATCAATAAAATATATTTTAAAAAATATTTAAAATGCGTATACTCCTGCCCTGCTGATTCTACTTTGTGGAATTGATCCTTGCAGATATACTAATAAGGGAACAAAATTGGTTATTCAGTGCAGTATTTTTAGTAGTAGCAAAAGGCTAAAAACAACTTACTGTCTACCAATAGAGAATTGGTTAAATAAATTATTTATATACTACACAGCTAAAAAAAGAATGAGGAGGCTCTCTTCTGATAAATTACTCTGAGATATATTACATGAAAAAAGTATGCACTGTATTCTCCTTTATGTACCTAATAAAATAAACTCTGGAAGGATAATCAAGAAAACAGTAATAGTGGTTACTGGTGAGTGACTGGCTATGGATGAGAACTGGCAGGAGGGGTGGGGGAAGTGTGGCAGGAGACTTACTATAAACTTCTTTATATTGTATTATTTTTTAAAATATATTTTATTGATTTTTTACAGAGAGGAAGTGAGAGGGATTGAGAGTTAGAAATATCAATGAGAAACATTGATCAGCTGCCTCCTGCACACCCCCTACTGGGGATGTGCCCGCAACCAAGGTACATGCCCTTGACGGGATCAAACCTGGGACCCGTCAGTCTGCAGGCCGAGGCTCTATCCACTGAGCCAAACTGGTCAGGGCTATATTTTATTTTTTTAAAAACTTCTTTATATTTTAAATCAGTTTCTGTATTATCAATTGAAAATTTTAAATTAGAATTGTTTTTCATTAAAAATGTGTATAGTACATCTAAACAATTGAATATTAATTCAATGATAAAAAGAAATGAGCTATCAGCCAGGAAAGGACATTCAGGGACCTTAAATGCTTAAGTGAAAAAAGCCAATTTATTGGCAGACTCCAACTCTATGACATTCTGGAGAAGTAAAACTTTAAAGACGGTAAAAAGATTAGTGATTGCCAAGGGTTGAGGTACAGGTCTAAAGATGAAGGGGTAGAACACAGAGAATTTTTAGAGCAGTGAAACTATTCTGCATGATACTATAATGACAGCTACATGACATTACATATTTATTAAAATCCATAGAACTGACAACACAAAGACTAAACCCTAATGTAAGCTTCGCACTTTAGTTAATAATACTGTCTCAACACTGGTTCATCAGTTATAGCAAAGGTACTATACTAATGCCAGGTATTAATAGTAAGAAAAACTCTGAGTAGGGGAGAGCGGGGAATATCATGGGAACCCTGTATAATATCTGCTCAATTTTCTGTAAACTTGAACCCGCTCTAAAAAATAAGGTCTATTTTTTAAAATTTGTGTGCATACATCCCTTTTTCATCCCGTAAATGCCTTACATGCTGATGGTGCTCAATAAAGTACTAGCTACAGCCTTAGTGGTCAAGAGCTCTACGATTGCCTAGCTGTGCGGCCTCATTTGTGTGAGTTACCTCTTCAGCCTCAGTTTCTCCGGCTGCAAAATGTTAGAAAAATGCAGTATTTCCTCCAGGGCTGTTGTGACGATTCAAAAAAGAATGCATGTAAGATGTTTAGTAGAGTGCGTAATGTAAAAGAAACGCTCACAATTGGTAGCTGTTCACAGAATGCCTGATTTGGCACTTCAAGGTTCATGGTTACTCCACTACCAGCTTTCCCCACCCCAGGACCCCAAATTCTCAACTCCAACGTATCCCACTTTGAACACAATCCTCATCGCCTGAGCTACAGCCCGTCCACTTCAGACCTTCTTTACTCCCCAGGTGCTGTTTTCCGCTTCGCTGGGCCTAACGGGCTTAGGACCCGGACGCGCCCCCTTCCCCGCCCCTCGCCATCCCAGTTCGACCGGGTCCCACACAGACCCCGCCCCCGCCTAATTTGTCTGCACTTATTTCCTTCCAACAAGGCTCCTACCCAGATACTCGTAGTCCGGTAGGGCTAGGCGCTCCGGACTCAGCATCATTGCACAAGGAGAGCTTCCAAGCTGTAGTTCTCCGGCTTCCGGAAGCCAGGTCACCAGCACTCTCCGTTGCCATGGCACCTACGCAGCCGGAGGAGAGGAAAGAGGCGGAGAGGGTGTCACGCAAACAGTTTCCGTACCGCAACGCGAAGCTGGCCACACGAGTTCCGGGAGCGGGTTGCTTTGCAGCGGTCCAGTCTTCTTAGGACTCAAGAATTCTTGAGGAGTTAGTTGGTTTTAAAAGAATTTGAGCGGAAAAAAATTATTGCCAGCCTTCCATATTCTCAATTTCTGAATTTCATAACTATTCCTGCTTTATACAGCTGTTATCCTCACAATAGCTCCCACCCTTAAATTTCCGTAAACAATATCTCATTACCTATTTTTATCTATTATTTACTATATTTGCTACAAAATGCTTTCAAGTGCTTATATCTTGGTTGCTCCTGTAACAAGGCTGCTCATTAAAATCTGTGTACATTCATCCTATAACAGAACCTGCTCTTTAAATCCTCTAGGATTCATTAACATTTCCTCTCAAAATCCTCTATCTTTAGTCCCTCCTTCTACTCCTATGCCTTACTGTTTGGTACCCTTTCCAAGTGTTTTTTGTTTTTTTTTCTACCAAGACACTTCACTTCTTTTTAGGATCACTCTTTTTTAAAAAATACTTTTTTTTTTAAATTGATTTCAGAGAGGAAGGGAGAGGAAGAGAGAGAGATAGAAACATCAATGATGACAGAGAATCATTGATTGGCTGCTTCATGCATGCCCCTTACTGGGGCTTCAGCCAGCAATCCGGGCATGTGCCCTTGACTAGAATCGAACCCGGGACCCTTCAGTCCATAGGCAGAGACCCTATGCACTACCAGCAGTTCTCAACCTATGGGTCGCGACCCCTTTGGAGGTTGAACAACCCTTTCACAGGGGTCGCCTAAGATCATCAGAAAACACATATATAATTACATATTGTCTTTGTGATTAATCACTATGCTTTAATTATGTTCAATTTGTAACGATGAAATTGGGGTCACCACAACATGAGGAACTGTATTAAAGGGTCGCGGCATTAGGAAGGTTGAGAACCACTGCGCTAAGCCAAACCAGCTAGGGCAACACTTCACTTCTTCAGGGGATGGGATGCACAAACCAAGACACCTATTGGATTTCTTTCCTCATATGCCTAATTGCTCACTTCTTTAAGAGGGGAGAACATTCATTGCTTTTTACGTTTCCAGAGATCCCCATATTTCTCTTTTGCTCCCCTTTGTTCCCAAAAGCAGATTAATGGTCTGTAGCACTTGTCACAGTTGAAACCTATTAGAATCAGCTGCCTCCTGAACACCCACTACTGGGGATGAGCCTGCAACCAAGGCATGTGTCCTTGACTGGAATCAAACCTGGGACCCTTCAGTCCGCGGGCTACCACTCTATCCAGTGAGCCAAACCAGCTAGGGCCTGCTGTCACTTTTTTAGTTTTTCTCCCCCCCTCCTCCAAAGAGAAGGTGAGGTTTTGTGAAAAGAAAGAAAACAAAAATCATGCTATCAAAAGAACGACTGGGAAACCGGTGGACCACCTACATTGGGAGGAAAAAGAAAGAGGAGGTTCTTCTCTTTGTGTTTTGAGTGGTCTATTCTTAGCCGCCTCTACCAGGAGCTTCAAACCTCCTAATTCTCCCTTTCCCTTAAAATTGTATATGTGTCTCATTTCTAGGTTCCCGTGAGTCACTCTGTGTTTAGATGCGGTAAGGATAAAGGGACAGACCCAAACTAGGAACAGCATTTATTATTTTGAGGTAATGAATTTACTAATTTGATATTTGATGTGAAGTCCTACAAATATGATGAAAATATTTGTCTTCGTCCTCCACCCTCACCTTCCATTCTCCTTACCAATGCAGCTTAAAGGTATGGGAGTTTATAACTTTCACACCTGTGGCTTATTACTATTATTAATAAAGTAATAGGATAGTAATTATTGAGGGTTACAATTTCATTCTATTTCCAAGCAACTTGAAGCTATTTGCAGATCATTTCATTTGTCCTGAGAACTTTCTAAGGCACGTCTCCTTTCCTAAGTAGGAAAACTGAGGAATATAGGAAGATGAATTGTCTATCATCATCCAGCCAATAGTGGGTGACCTGAAACTGGATCGCACTATCCCAACCCCCAGGCTAGTGGTCTGACCACTAAACCACACAGCCTCTTTTTTTAGGGTTTATTGGCTTGGTTTTTATTTATTCGTTTTTCTTTTGCTCTGCCCTGCCAGCAACTGGAAGCTACAAGATAAAAGAAGCGACTTTTCAGTCCAGGCTGAACATTTGACATCCTTTTATTTGTGGAGCATTATCCTGGGGCTTGGAGGGTGCTGCTGCTGAGGTCTGTGTGGTGGAGCTGGGAACCAGCCCCAAGAATATAGCTTTGTTTGGGCATTAACCCATTTGCGGTTATAATAATGATAAGTTTCAGCACCAGTGGCGCCCGACTGTTAATGACTCAAAGAAAGCTAAATAAGAACAAGATGTCATCTGTGGAGCAATTTGTAGGTTTTTCCTACAGCTCCATTCCTTCCATAAAAATCCTAAGGACCCTTACATTTAGAGACAGTCTCTATTCTTAATGCCCTGAACAGTCTGTGAAGACTTAGAAAGGGGAGGTGGTTGCTAGACTAAGGCTTCAAGAAAATTTGGGGTTGCAGAAGTAACAGGTAGACTTTATTGCTGGTGGAAATACTGACTGTTGACAGTTTTCTTCTTTATATTTTTCTATATTCACAAAAGTTTTCTATAATAGGCATGTATTATAACCTGAAAACAAACAAAGACAAGAAATGAGTGGCTTGAAGATCTTGAAAATATTCTTCAAACAGAAGTGATGACCTTTCAGCTAGTGTTTGGTTTTCTTAATAACGAGCCACCACTTTTAGATTTATCTTCTGCCATAGATTATGCAATAATAGATTTTGGCACTACTTCAGTGGTGGAGGGAATATTTCAGTGAAACATACAAAACATCAGTCTTAAGAAAAGTGGAAGTACATAAGAGTTGTTAAAGCCAAGTATATTTTTGTGACCCTGTTGAATATCAAGGAAAGAAAAAGAAAGTCATCCTTCTATTTAGATGGGCTTTTCAAGTTGTTAAATTATTATAGCATGTTTCTGAAAATTTTACCCAAACTAATAGTCATCCACTAAATCAGAAGACAACTTCACAATCCTGAAAATAAGCAGGCATTATAAAATTGATTAAAACATAGAGAGGGCATGAGATATTAAAGTATTATAGCATAAAGAATGGAAACATCAACCTCAAAACAATAGAAGAAACACCCACAAGAGAGAGTACATGTTGAGATGTCAATTTATCAGATTACAATTAGTAATTATAAAGAGAAAATTAATAGACATCACTGGCTCTGCCAAGGACCTATAAAGAGATTGATAGGAAAGAAAATCTTCCCTGGAATTGAAAACTTCAGGAAAAAATCAATATACTAGTTTTAAACCTCAAGGAAACAATAAGGAAAGAGAAAATTCAGGCTGAATTATTGCTACAAAACAGGTTCAAGAAACTAGGACAAGCTTTTACCAACTCATCAAGCAGAAAAGATGCTAAAGGCGCTTCTACTAAGAAATGCAGGTCATGAAATTCATTTTCAGCTACCAGGCTCTTGCTCTTCTTAAAAGATTTACCCTCCTTAGGAACAAAGCAGAAACTAAATATGATACCACCATATGGAATTAACATGATTAAACTAAAAATGCTATTTACCGACAAGCCATTTTGGACTACTACAGGTCAACAGACCAGAGCTTTGGGAGAATTTGCAAAGGAAACATCCACAAACTCTGGCATGGTTAAAAATAACTAATGCGCCCAGCCAGCATGGCTCAGTGGTTAAGCGTCGACCTATGAACCAGGAGGTCACGGTTCGATTCCCGGTCAGGGCACATGCCCAGGTTGTGAACTCGATCCCCAGTGTGGGATGTGCAGGAGGCAGCCAATCAATGATTCTCTCCACTCATTGATGTTTCTATCTCTCTCTCCCTCTCCCCTCCTCTCTGAAATAAATACAAATATTTTTAAAAAATAACTAATGCATTACAAGAAAGTGATTAAAAAGACACGGCTTAAATTGAACTGGAAGCTGAAAGGCAAATTGCAGACTTGTACCTTGTTATTTTATATTTTCAAATGCTGCTAAAAGAGCTGGAATTATACTTTCATATAATTTGAAAGAGAGGAAGATTTTTCTGATTCTTCTTGGTAGCTTACAAAAATTAGCTGGGCCTTCCTCTGTCCTAGATGATACACTTTAATAATCACTTATGTCATTTTTTAAAAATTCTTTAAATTCTCCTACTAGATTGTGAATTCCTTGAGGGCAGAGAATTCATTCATCTTTATATTTCTAGGATCATGCACAGGGCCTGGTAAAATAAATGCTTGAATGCCATAAGTAGATTTTTCTTCCTGTAAGTGAAAAGTCTAAAAAGCAAAGTCAATCCAACCCATAGGACTTATGGTTGCCTCATCTGAACCAATTTATTATATAAAAAGTCCAGAAAAATGCAAGGCACCATTGAAAAAGGCATTAAAAATTAATCAGAAAACATTGGTAGCCCGGGACAAGTAACTCAATTAGTTAGAGTGTTGTCCCTATACACAAACGTTGAGAGTTTGATTTCCGGTCAGGGCACATACAAGAAGCAGCCAATGAATACATAAATAAGTGGAACAATGAATAAATATTTCTCTCTCCCTTTCTTTCTCTCTAGATAAATCAATAACTTTTTTAAAACTACAGTATTAAAAAATAAAGCATTGGCATATCCTCCCTACACCTAAATACTGTATGTGACAGATCATCATATCTTAAGAAATGCCCAGAAAAAAAGTAACAAAATCAACAAAAAGCATAGAGACAATGCTGCAATGTAGACAAGCCAAGAGAATTAGTTCAGGGGGGATGAAAGGGAATGTATTAGAAATCATTAAATAAACTTAGGATATGAACTGGAAGTCCCAC